CAATAGGTACTTAATTAATATTTATGTAATAAACAAAGTGAATCACAAAGTAAGTCATGACAATATTAGGCACGTGAACTCGGCAAAATGCTTCGTCGCTTGCATGAAATTCAACGCGACGAACATGACCGATCACAGTGCGGGAACTCCCGAATGCATTTTCGGTTTCGGTCGTAGTTTCGGCAGGTTTGTCGCCGAAACCGAAACTAAACCGAAACCCGTTTTTTTTGCCGAAACTCGACCGAAACCGAGCTTTCAGTCGGACACTAGTTGAGCATGTTGGGCATGTTGTCATAGTTTTGTGTATTGTCACACTCTCAAGTTTTTCAGGTATCCTGCACCATCAATTCAATTCCGTTAATCATATTCCAATATTTGATTTCATTTTCATATAAAAATCGAATATAAATGATCTTAACAAGTTCAGGTGCCATGTTATAAAGTTGAGGACCAAAATATTTAGCAAATGGCTGTCCAATAGAATTGGTAGGAATTGTTTGCTTCCGCACACCAGTCAAAATATTCAAGCAATAAATCTACCTCACACACCACACACACTTCTTTGAACATGTTGTCTCTAGGGCACGTAACTTTTTCCCCTGAATTATTTTCAGTATGAATTTTTTGATAACAATCAAATTCTCGAGATAATAGTCACTCACACTTTCCTATCCTATGATTCCATAAGATAATAGTGATCTAACCAAAGCGTAGTATACTATTTTTAGGTGCATGAATTTATGTGAGTCCACTTAGTTTTCTCACTAAAGTTTGAATTGGGAGATTCCATCTCAAATGCTGATATGTCTTCCTTAATTTGACAGTTTTTCCGAATCTTAATAATTCCATATTAGGTAGGTGAGCTGAATGAGAAGTGAATATTAAATATCTCTTTTCCAAGTTAAATTCGAGCTTGTTATATCTGAACCACTCATTATATTTGAAAAAATAGCTTCCAAACATCACATTGACTGACTGGTAGAAGATGGCGGTGTCATCAGCGAAGCTCCTAATAATATCATTTGTGTTCGTAATGAAAAACTGTTTCATTACGAACACAAACTGTTCATTTAGATGATGAGTAAAAGGGGGCCCTATACCGTCCCTTGCGGTACACCGTATGTAATGGTCATTCGATCACTCATAATAATTTCCTTCATTATTTTTTTCCATAATTTTTGAAAATTTTGGTATAAATCAGTTGTGTGGTATTGTTATACCCTATGTTTTACTCAATGTATTGATTGCATGTGACTGCAATGTTTTCTGTCCTGTATCTGTTGACTATTCTCTTGACTTTTCATTTAACCTTTTCTGCTTTCGTTAACCAGCTGTTACACCCCTACGAACGACAACCCTCAGAAGTCGAAACTTGTGCGAGCTATGGACTAACGAGGTCTAACCTCTCAACGTGTCATTCCTAACACGTTATCACGTAATTGCCAACGTTATCGACGTTGGCAATTCACAAATAAATTCTTTCGAATGACGAAATACAGAGTTCACAAATGTGCGGTTGGCTCCTGTTTGCCCCCCTTTTTGAATTTTTATGTCCACTATTTGTTACATTTTTGAATTGTATCATACACACTCGACCCTTAGCATGTCATAATGCACCTCTCCAGAATATTAATGATTATTCCGACTCCCACCCCGGAGTATGCTTGTTGAGTTGTTTCCTGACTCTGTCTACAGGTGGCGCAGTGGTCATCCCACTGAATTCACTGGATAGAGATTGTATGACTAGCTGAAATTATATTCGTTTGGTCGTAGGGAAGTGAGGGTATCTGGAAGTGAGATCAATTGGCAAGCGCGGGTAAAGTACCTCAGCCTTCTAATGGACCGTAGGCTTACCTGGAACTCGCACATTATATCCGTTAAAACAAGGATCGAGGGCCGATCGAGTCTGTACCCTCTGATCAACAGAAAATCCCTAACTAATGGATTTTCACGAGAAACTCATAATCAACAACATGAGAAACTCATAAAAATCCATTAGTTAGGGAAGCTATAGATTTTGCTGTAGACGACCCCTACCAATATAAAAGGCCCCGACTCTGTCGAATGAGGCCCCTATGTCCCTCGTTGAAAAATGAACAATCTTTTCATCCATTTCATTCCAGCCAGGTAGGGTTACACCGTGAAAGGCGGCACTGATGTCTGAAGACATTCATGTCGCCATCCCACCATCAGTTATGACCCATTTGTTCCTCTGACAAACATCAGATGTATGGGTAAGGGAGCCAGGCTCCAAACTGTTCAAAGTCAAGATGGCTGTCGTCTGTTTGGTCGTGATACTCAGATGATTCACAATGTTCTGAAGAGACCATGCCCGGTACTGATGATGGGGCAATCACCCCGAAACCGATCTATCGATTGGTCTGATCGACCAAACAAAATTAATTTCTGCTTTTCGTAGTGGGAAATAATTTGCGACGAATCTTCCAAGTCAAAGACGTTGCACAGGTGCTTGATGGTTCCACTTCAACTCTCTGCACGGCATCAGTTGGGTTAGTTGCTATTTTTCCGTTGGGTATCTGCCACACGTACCTACAAAGTCGTAAGTCTGCATGAGAGGAAAGTGGCAACCTTCAGCATGTCATAATGCACTCACCGGAATATTAATAATTATATTAAAAAGTTATATGAAGTACTGGTGATATTTTGACCCCATCTATACATTCCCGAGAGGAAAAGAGGAAGTCCAGGGACACCCTGTATATAAAGAGAGAAGCAATAGATATTCAAAACATAAGAATAATTTCAATAGAGGTACACGAACACGAACAATTATAAATAGAGTGCGTTGGATAAAACAGGAACAAGAACCAGAGCACCAGCTCGGGTATTGCGACCGTTACCAGATCGCCTTTAAAAATGTCTACCGCAACAACAGACGAAACGTCAGGCATAAAAACCTACAGACCACGATCAGAAAACACAGAAAATAGTCTTCATACAGGTATCTTCCGCCGTGAAAGTTTACATTCTACGATATTTGTTCTGTAAGTAGTGGTATGAAGTTTCAAAGTGCTATAGATTTGACGGTAATCCCAGAAATTGGCTCTACGTACAGGGTTTTTTCAAGAAATTAGATGACGATTTCACAATCGTCAATAAAGAAAGTTCCAGTACCTCATTCAATCAACATTCCAAGAATCTAGGGTGATAATAGGCGTGGAGAGTTTCCTGCCGACAGCAGAGGATTATTCGAAAGCCATTGATGCAATAAAACTGGAATTTTTATGAGAAAAACTTGCCACAGAGAAGGAAATGTTGAGAAATTATTGGCATTGGTGATGTGTTCATGTAGCATTGGTGATGTGTTCATGTGCTGATGTGTTCATTGAAAAAAGCAAATGACATATAAGGTGAATTATCTAATGGATCACAAACAGATGAAGTTATTTCCAATATCACCAGAAAAAACTCTTCCAAAGATTTATCTTGATTTTGATGGAAAATAATGGTTATGAACGACGTTGTAGCTGAAAATGGTGTTAACTTTATCAGATTATGAATAACCAGAGATGGAACTCCTGAAACAACCGATATGGCTAGGTAATTATTGATAGGTTGAGTTGTTCAAATACAGTCAGGTTTAATGGCAATAGAAATTTTTTTGGGCTGGACATTTCATGTTGATATATAATTTTGAAATAAAGGATTCATGAGAACTAGATATTTTTGGTAACAAAGATCCATTCGAATAATTATCCAAAGAATATTCAAATCAAGAAGTATTGAGAATTTTTCAGGAAACGGTTACAGTTGACAATGAATCATGAATGATTGTAATTTTGATGTGAGAGAGTGGAAGTGGGAGTGGAAGATGATCTTCAAGAAAATACATCAAATGGACTCGGTTTATTGTGGAACAGTGATACATCTATCGATACCTACATACAACTATCAATCCTAATAATTGGTCAGATGAAAAGTATGATAAGGTAACTTTGTATCCTGAATTATTGCAAATTATTGCTTCAACTGACATGGGAAGAGAAAATAGGTTGGGATGATGAATAGAGTGAACCGATTGAGAGTGAATTTTTGAATTGGTTTCAAGATCTATTCTATTTGTCTCGTATTCATACACCTAGATACTTCTCTGCCCTTTCTGGGGTCAGATGGCTTAGATAGAAATTCACACATTTTGTGATACTTGTAAATATTCATATGCTGCTGTTACTTTTTTGAACATACAGTTCAGTTTAATTGATTCAAGCGAAATCTAGAGTAGCTCCAGTGGAAAAGATAATTTTACCTCGTTTGGAGTTGGCTGCAATAACAATTGGGTGACGTTTTTCAAAATCAGTTGCTGATTTTTGTGAATTTTTTAAAGTTGAATAAAATGAATATTTCGAAATGAAATTTCGAAACGTTAATCTACTTTCCCGGCTAATACCACGCTGGACATTGAATTATATCCGACAGACATTTATGCAAGATATCTCACAGAGGTTAGTCTTGCAGAAGATTCTCGTTCTCGAAACATTCATCTCTCCCAACGTTCAGGTATATCCCTGCCGAAAAACAAATACTTTCCCGGCTAATACCACGGTGGACATTGGATCATATACGACAAACAGTCATACAAGATACCTCACAAAGGTAAGTTTTGCTGATGATTCTCGTTCATCCAGCAGCAGTGCCCGGTATTACCCGGGGAAGTAATTATATTCCGGCAGGCATTTCCCAGGACCTACCGCTCAGAATTAAAAGTTTTTAATGTATAATTATGTTATTATAAGTTTGAAAATGTCCTTATAGGATGAAACTGCAGTAACGTTAGTTACAAATAAAAGTGGTACAGACAATCGTCATTTTTTATGATGATTTCCTACCACATAGTAACGGCAAAAATTTATTGAATTTTGTACAATAGTGAAATATTGAATTCAAAAAAGAAATGTGAAAAACTAAAACATCTTGAGAACACTACCTGAGATTTTGAATTGTTTAGACTCCAATGAAATGAATATCAAATATCCACTCACCTTATGAAATGATGGTTCCCTTGGATTTTTTCCAACGTCTACGATGTAAACTCTATCTGATCCCAAAGCGGGCAACACAAGTTTATCCCTTACGGCTGTATTGGAACAAGGTGATGTCGAATGACAGCTCGAACATACATTCCATCCAGAGTGATGTAATTCATCATTTTCATTTCCAGTTCGGAGTCGATGTATTATCTTGAAAGTTGAAAGAGAAAAACTTTTCATGACAGAAACAGATTTTGATATAGGGATCAAAATTAGGAAAATGGTAGGAGAATATGTTGAAGTCAATAGAAATGAATGAACTTATCTTTTACTTAAACTAATCAATCATTGAAGTTTTTTCAGGAATAATTGAAGGACTTCTTTTCTGTCAAAACACGGGGTTATTATCCCCTATATTACCCACTCATCTGTCGATGTATCGACTAATGGACATCACTACAATTTTTGTAAAGGTGCCCACTATATTTTCAATTCAACTGAGGATGGTACTATGTAGTGAAACGCGTATACAAAATGAAGCCTATATTGTGAAAATTTGAAATTATATTATCATGAATAGTGTTATTGATTTGCAGTTGTCAAGATTCAATCTATTCATCATTTTTTAATCATAAAAAACATTACCACAGACCTGAAAAAATGACAAAAACATATTACATATTATCAATGCACAATAATGTTCACTTCCAGAATTACTTCCAGAATCGAAACGCTGAAACTAAATCTAAATCAAATGCATTACTGAACCAACATGAGTCAGTGATAACCCATAATTCATTTATGGCCTCACATAGTAATATTTTATTGTGTACGAAACATTGTGTATACACACAACTCATCTGGTAATGAACACGGGTGCAGAGTTATTTTGAATTCAGGATCACAACTTCTTAACCAACGAATTATGTAACAGAATACGGTCGTGTCAAAGCTATTCTTATTTTGCGGGTTTGTACAGCACATACTCTGCCAAGTGGAAGTATAATCATTCATGTTTTTACATGCCAAAACAAATATCAGTAATGAGTTTATAAAAATCTCANCTTTTCAATTTTTTTATTTTTTGGTTGTTGATTGTATGTTATTTCTTTGTAATTTCCGTTTTTTGTTTAATAAAATTGTTATTTTCGGTTAATCTTTTTGATTTTTTTCAGGGTTATCAAATCAATTTATGGACAATTTAGACAATGGAAGTCCGAACTGATGAAATACACCACGAAACATTGTCAACCACCTTCAAACAACACAATAATACTTCAAATTGTGCGCAGAATAATGCGCATAAGGTCGAAAAATTGGCACTAAAATTAATGAGTTGAAAATTGACCTACTCTTAATGTAATGTTGAATTAATTCCTGCTGCATGAAATAAATTGGGGAAAGCAATATTTCAACTTTTTAGTAATAATGTAATTCAGGCTGCATGTTTCTACCTCAAGCTAACAGCCAATTCAGAATAATTTTGATATTAACGTCAACACCTTCAGCAAAAACTAGGTGAAAAACTAAAAGAGTTCTTATTTCTGTTTTCATTGGTATCATACAACAGTGATCAGGTTGACCTTCTAGTTTGAAATGATAGTGCTCATTGTTGTAAGGTCAAAAATGTTACAGGGTTGGATGAAGAATTGAAAGACCCTTCAAATAAGGTGACTATCGACTATTATTTCCATTTAAAATTTTTAACAATGAGCCTTTTCCCTGAGAATAGTACAGCGAACGTGTCACGAGAGGCAGCACTAGTAGTAGGGACAAACATAAACTATTCACATGTAAGCTTGCAGCACCCTCCTTTGCAAGAGAGTCAGCAGCCTCATTGCCTTCCAGGCCAGTATGGCCAGGAATCCAGATCAGAGACAATCTGTTAAGTCTTCCTATCGACGAGAGTCGTTTTGCAATTTGCTACCAATTTAGACATTGCTCGGTAGGAGCCAAGAGCTTCCAACGCCGCTTGACTGTCCGTTGATATTTTTATTGACTTATGTATGAGGTTGGATTCTTCCAATTTCTCGGCACACAATTCAATAACGTAAATTTCCGCTTGAAATACAGTCGCATAGGTTCCTAGGCAGGTCCTAGGCAGGTTCCTGGGTCTGCGACTGAAAATATCTGCACCAGAACAGGAAGGTGTTTTTAATTCATATGTGAACCAACAACTATCTGCTTTTAATATTCCCCTCTCCCGTAGGATCCAGTACTCTCTACTCGGGAACAGTACTTTATAAGACAGTTTGTAGTTGACAGTTGGAGGCATAAAGTCAGAGTTCATTTCCAGAATGCTGTGACTTCCAGTGTCAACCAACAGTCTGTTGAACTCTGAATTAAATTGATTTGTGCAATTGGCAATGTGCACAAGCAGACCATCTAGCCTCTCTCTCTAAAAAAATGTGGAGAGGGGGTAAATCTAGAAGGATCTCCATGGCCGCTGACGGTGTAGTACTGATGGCCAGACAAGCTTGCCTTTGTAAGCCAGAGAGCTTCCCATGAGCCGTTTTCTGTAGAGCCTTTAGCCATCAGACAATTGCACCATAAGAGGTCATTGGTCTGACAATCATCACATAAATCCCATGGATTTGTCTGGGACCTAAACCCCGTGTTTTACCACAAATCCTTCGACATGTCCATAGGGACATTATGGCTTTGTGTAAAACTATTTCCAAGTGAGCGTTCCAGGTGAGGACAATGCCAAGATATTTCACCTCCGTTCCAAATAGAATGACCTCACCATTGAGGAAAAGCGGCGTTAGATAGTCCAATTTTCTCTTCCTGGTGAAGGGGATTATCACAGTTTTGCTGGGGATGATAGACATCTGCTCCCTCGGGCACCAACTGTAAACAACGTCCATCGTGCTATATACTATGATATAGACTTATTTTCAAGAATCCAACAGAATAATTCTTTCAGACACCAGAGCTGTAACACTCTTCTCAATCGCGTTTGAACAACTGAGATGGGGTCATCAGGAAATAATTTGAAATATTTCCCAAACTGCAACACAGCCTATTTATATTCAAGACGGTGAACTGTAACTTACCTCAAATTTTTCCTTAAATTATTTTCATACATACCTACATGTTATTTTCAAATACACATAATCTTTAAATTTTACTTTGATTCGATGAGAGTGGTTATGAATAGTATCTTTGTCGCTTTTCATAGTTCTTTTACCACACTTTACTATTTCTAGGCCTTTGAAAGCATCAAAGAGTCTAGAATTATGTATCAATTTCAAAAAATTTTGTTATTGCTCCAAGCTAGTGGTGGAAAAGAAGCAAAGAGCTCAACTAAGGAAACTAATGACCTTACAAGCTCTAGTAGAGACTTAATGGAATGGATAGTCACAACACAATTAATCATGAAGATCATCAAAAACTTTATAGCTACATCGGCGTCACTTCTCCTGAAGACAAGCGAATTTCTAGCAGATAAACAGCTTCACAAAAAATTGCTTATCAGGAAATCACATCGTCAAATGCTTTATAGGTCCTCATTGGAGACGTAAAGAACACTTGGCTGCCTCTTTGTGCCTTTTTTGTATAGAGTCCTTCGGATCGTCAGATTCGAAGGACTCAGATCAGAACAATTAGGTGTTTTAGTGCTAAAGCACTATTAGGTGGATGCAGCCAATACTCAGAAACGAGACAATTTAAGTGATTGTGAAAAAAGGTTGGTCCCAAGGAAGTGGTATCAAAGCGACCAAGCGACCAAAGAAGCCTCTTCTATGGTCGCTGGATGCCGACAATCACGGCACGGTTACACGATCAGGACTCCACCACTTAAGCTTAATTCGATAACATACTCGTCAGCACAAGAAAAAACATGATTTGGGTCATTTCAAAACCAATGGAAACTGCCCCGAACTCAACCAAAAACTGGACTTTTATTGGTTCCATTTACCATTTTCCAAAGAAATAAGACCCTTGGTCATGATTACCGATCAAAAACTGACTTGTTACAGTCACATTGACAACAGTCTCTTCAACACCAAGCCAACAACATGGATGCTGGCTTGGTGGAGATTATACTGAACCTTCCATATTACATGTTTGTGTAATAAAGAGCGCAGCAGTCGGTGCTCTCAGGATTCACCAGAAAAGCTATTGTGACAATAGGAAATCTGTGTAAACATATGAAAATTCTGGATTTGATCTTTCTGGAATTCAAGTCTGAACCATAGACCTAATGCCAGTTAGGTATGATTTCGAGGTGAATTTTTAATAATTAGTCATAAACAGCTACCAAACAGAAATATCGTACGGCTGCAGCTAGGTGAGGACACCCCACTATTTTTCAGGCATGAGTGCCTGCTATGAACATTTGCTTGTGATGCGAGCATTAACAAACTTGATACGATTCCCCATTGAAAATTTTGCAGTCCGTCAACTCTGGAATGAATTATTCTTCACAAGGACAGAGTCCCATCAAATAAAGTAATCACCTTCGTTAGGAAGCTGACTTTAGTTGATTCAGTTCAATTGGTGTAAGCCACAATAAACCAACGTGGATTGCAGAGGAATGTCGAAAAGACCCTCTCACTTTGAACCTACTTACCTATATGCTTCCTTATCTTGTAGATTGTTGAATAATAGATTGGAGCACCTAAATATTTTTCTCACAAGTATCTATCTAGTTGAAGGTGGATTGATTCTGCTACATGAAATGGCTGATGGGACTGCCAAAAGCCATGATGCTCCCTACAACACCGAACAGTTATCAACATAGCCTATCCAGAACACGAGGCGAAAGACAGAGTAAAGGCGATGGCATTTCCCCTTACGAAGAAGCCATCTATGGGATCGACAGACAACTCAATTTACGAGGCTTTCTGAGTCAAAAAGTTGTAAAGTGATCATTGACATCGACTGTCAAACGAACAGCATTGATGAGATCTAAGGAAGGTCAAAAAGGCGTTTGAGTCACGATTGCTTCGTTTTTGGACTCACATAGTTGCCTTGCAACAAAAGCTGCAGTGAAATGTTGAAGCTGTTGAAGATGTTGAAGCTTAGCTTTGCAACTGACCACCTTGAGAAGCTACGTTTATCTTTTATATTCGTGAATTGAGTCTTCTTCCTATGCCATCGCATCCACTCATTCAGGCTTGATTTTTGGGTTCTGGTTACAACTACGAGTCTAATGATTGAAACAATTCAAGTAACTAATTAAATGGATATGAGAACACAGGCCTTCACTGTGATCGGCCCAGAACCCTTCTGCGGGGTAGAGAGACATCCAT